AAGGAAAATATTCCACATAGATTTATTAAATATATCAGCCTCAATTATTAAGTATGTAATCCCTCCTTTCTCGTTGAAAACCCATTATCAACCCAACATTGTTTCTAGAAGCTCATTCTGGTATGCAAACAGGTAAACTTAACAAAAGGACAACAAGTATACGACTTCAATTAAGTCTGTCATTTTTCAATGATGTAAAATCATTTCTAATCTAGTTATATTGAGAATATTACTAAAATTTGCAAAACATTAATACAACTACTCACACTAATTGCTAATCGTCATTGGAATTGGGAAAGGACTTTGAAGAAAGAGTCCTTTAGTCATAATCCTTGTTTAGCTTTTATTCCTTAGCCCTTGTTTGGGCTCCATTACTTTCAAAATTCATTTTTCCAAAACTCGTTTTCAACCACACATTCTTCCCTAAAATAATATTTCACGTGAACCCAAAATTTTTCCTTATCTTTTAACTATAAATTCTCAAAAATACATTTTCTCCCAAAATCGCATTAAAATGGAGCCAATATATCAAGGAAGCAGTCTCTGCTAACTGGAAATTCAATGGTTAATATGTTTTACCACAAGAATAAATAAAGCATTTGCAAAACATATGAAATTCAGTGGCAGCAGATCTAAATACAAGAATGGAAAGTTTCAGAAAGAATTAGACATATTTGACAAATCATCATTAAAGCCTCAAACACAATGTAGGAACTAAAAAGGCTGAAAGGTTCTAACTATGAATAAAGTTTGTACATTGAATAGATTCATGAATTGAGTAAAAAATCTTCCACGAAAACAACCTCAACAAATGAGATAAACATAATTTGAAGACATGAAGAAGTCAATAAAGTTGATGAATATGCCAAAGCAGCTGCATCTATTGACCATGGAATCTCACCTCGGTTTTCTGTCGACAAGAATTAGCCTCCCTTAGGTAGATACCTCGTGATGTGGGTGCTGCAATAAAAACTCGTCTTAAATTACCATCTCATTTGGTTACTTGTTGGCAATTGTGCATCCCGCGAGAAGTGGTGATCATTAAATAAATAGCTAACACAAAATCCATTGAAACTGAAATTCTAATAACTTTAATGTAGACAACAAATAACCTACAACTTGTGCAAACATTGTGGTAACTGAAAGACCAGAAAGAAAATTAAGAACTTCCATAACTTTGAGAGGGGTTTCTGAACAACCCTGCACAATCATACAGGATGTCAGGATGACACTTAAGGTATTGGTAGCGGCCTCGAGAGAAACATGGGTCTTCCTTCTCAAGTACTACAGCAGTTGGGTCTACCTGTAGCTACTACATACTCAACACCGTGACAAAAGAGGAGGCGCCGAAAGATGAGGCAGAGATCCAAGGAGTACTGTTCCTGAATTTCCTGAGCATCAATCACTTTGGCCTTTTTAAGGGTTTCTTATTTTAATTGTTGTTTCGATTTCGTTAATTTCAATCTGTTTTTAGTACTCTGCTACGTTTTGGCACTGCATTTGTAGTCCTAGTATCCAATCCAAGGATAGTTTAATGATTGTGAAAATAAATAAATAATAATAATAAAATAAAATCCTGTTTGAATAAAAACTTGAACCAATAGCAAATAACTTCTTCTAGCATAGACGCATACATCATAATCAGATGTTTAATTCAAGCACTTAAACGAAAGTACACAAAGGAAAATTTCACCCACTTGGTTTTCCACATTGATTAACCTTTACTTGGTACCACACACATGGAACATTACATGACTTCTGAACGTATTCATAGGCCCTGCCATTCAATCCCCACAAAATATCAAGTTACAGAGGGTTCAAATAACCTCTTGCAAGTAAAGAAAATAGGCAACAAGTAGTGAACCTAACTTGTCAACTTGCATAAGCCCTTGTCCAGAAGTCAGTTTATCTTCAGGCAATCCACCCACAGGAATTGCTGTGTTCTCCAGAGCCTTACGGACACTGTATGGACTCACAGGAATCCCTTCAGCCTGAAAGATTAGATGATTTTATCAAAATATGGAACAGACAGCATAGATGAAACCAACATAACAAATCAAATAAAAGCAGGACAAGCCATCATTAGAACCTTCATGGCACTGACAAGCAGAGCAACCCCACCACAAGCACATGGAGATGACATTGATGTTCCATTCATAAGCATGCGTCGTTGAAGAGTCCATGTAGGAACAGGAGCTACAGCTCCTCCAGCGGCACTTATGCAGACTCCAAGATCCCCATCAGCTGTTGGTCCTCGACTAGACCTGCATCACTTTCAGATAATCAGTTCAAATCAAACCAAGAACCAGAATGACAGCTTATTCCATTTCAAATCTCATGTACTTATTTATTCGGATGAGAAAGTCAGCAATGGATGTCAAAACCAACAGTATGCAATTTGGCCAAAAATTGGATTTTTTTGGAAACCAGAATATAACATACCAGGTATATTCAAGACCTTCAGGAGGAGCCTCAACTAAGTTGTGAGTTCCAGCAGCCATGGTAGGAGAAACATATGCACCAACTCCTATAATACTTGATGTGGTACCACCAGGTGCACCCACAGTACTCAATGCTGGCCCATTGTTGCCAGCACTACTAACATATATCAGCCGGTGCTTGTTGACTACCTATAAATTCCATAAATGGTCAGTGTAACAGTGTCACCTATGGGGCATAACAGGTAACGAGGAGCTAGTCTAAGCCCCAATTTGACAACCATTATTTGAAAACTCTTTTTTTTTTTCTTTTTTTTTTTTTTTAACCACACATTCACATAATAAAATATTCTACACATAAATCCAAAATTTTTCCTTACTTTTTAACCACACATTCTCCTAAAAATCACTATTCAAAAGATTATTATTATTATTATTATTTCCAAATAATGGCCATCAAATAGGGGCTAAAGTTCATGGGATAGCAATCTTACCTCATTCACGAGATCAACAAAACAACCATAATCAGGGAGCAAAGTGGCCTCCCCATAACTCATGTTTATAAGGTCACATTTGTGCTGCAAAATAACATTTAACGACCATAGTCAAGAAAACTGAAAAATAAAAATTGCAAGAGTGTATAGCGCAACATCCACCTTTCAGATGACACCAACTGCCAACGAAAGGGAGTTTTGGCACCTTAAGGATATAATTAACAACATAAAATTACCCACCAATTAGTTATTTCTTCCTAGACACAATAATCTTGCTAGTACATATGACTTTCCACAAGTGATTCTATAAACAACTTTGCAATTCTTCTGGTTGATTGTTTACACAGAGATATAACGTCCACAAATATTCAAAGGGAAAACAAAAAGAAAGAGAGAAGCATAGAGATACAGGAAGATCAATTCTTAGATAAGACCAACTGACAAAGTAATGAGAATGCACTTGTGAGGGTCAAATTTTTGTCTCAAAATGTCAACAATCGCACGACAACTTTAATTTCTATTGATTTCAGAAACCAATAGAAATTTAAGTTGCTGCCTTTCAATTATCTTGAATCACTTCATGAAGGGAACTATCTCAATTCTCATCTAGAGGACCTCAAACCCTCTGATCTAAAGTAGCACCAGATAGTCTTGGTCATGACAGTTCAAGTCAGTCAATTAAAAATTAGTGGGAAATCTATTTATCTAATATAATAGAAAGAAGAAAGTTACTGATCAGATCTTACATTCAGGTCAATTGCCTTAATGTATAACAGTTTTAAGTTTAATCAATGACTCTACTTAGTAAGAGATCTGGACAATAAAAAACAAGCTGTTGATATGTTGCGTTGCTTGTGTCTACTAGGGAAAAGAGCATCCTTGCTTGCTTCTTGATGCATTCAGCTGTTGATATGTTGAGATGCTAGTAAATATGCTTTAATAACCTAGGCAACTACTCACTACTCTAAAACTCAATGACAAAAATTAATAGACAATTTATAATTTTTAAGTGAATTGGCAATCCCTCAATTCTTCTGTTCAAAAATTGAGTTCCTTAGTTCCTATGGACACTCAATCAAAATGAAAGCCTATCTTCTGCTGCCCGAGCCCCAGAGCCCAGAAGTACCATCAGTGTATACTTTTTGAAGTAGTAAAGGAGATTACAATTTATCAAATGTTGCGTATCCACCACAAAAGCTTACTAAAGAACGAACTTGATAAAATAATCCCCGAAGATGCTTGAACAAACTACTCCGTAATAAAAGATGCACAACACTGTTATATTGCCTATTCTATGCAATCATTCTGAGAAGATGAATACTTGTAGATACACAAAACATGTCAGATTATCAATAGCAAGATCTACCTCAACAGCAGCAATCAGTGCTCGAGTCAAGCCTGTTCCTGTTTCCATTGAACCTAAGCGTGAATCTCCAATTTTACATGAAATCAATTGTGCTCCAGGGGCAACTCCATTCAACAAAGGCTCCTAAATTATAAAAATGTGTTGTAAAAGGGTTTTACTACATACAAGTAAAGCGAATAACACAATTTATTGCTAAAGGGTATAATAAACTACCTTTTGATGGAAAGCAGCAGTTATTCCAGCAACATGCGTACCATGAGGAGAGCTATCGGTTACGATACTCAAAATGTTGCCTTCATTATATATGTTAAGAACACATGTACAAGCGTCTAATTTGCTAAAAATGCCATACTTCCGTTCAATCCTTCAATTGTAGGAAACAACAAATTACAATTGGGAATGTGGGATTAAACTTTAATTCAGCTAGCCTCGTAATAACATATATCCCCAAAAAAATTCTAAAAAAATAAGAAATAAAAATTCTGAAAAATTAAAATTAAAAAAATTTCCAGAAAGCTAAAAATTACAAAAAATAAAATAAAAATAAAAATAGTTCTAGCTCTCAATAAATTTAACATAAAAATTCTAAAAAAAATATTTAAATGAAATCATCTGCTTCTCACATTCCGTGAATAGCCAGGACATTGAGGAATATCCAAAAAGGCATTTCGGGAATTGGTCTGATTCTATCTCTGTCCATTTGAAGAAAGGAAGGATCCCAAAGAATCGATCTTTCTTCTAGTTGTTGAATCTCTCTTTGATTGATTGATATGTGATATTCCAATTGACCTTCTAGGTTGCTTGCGAAGATAACATCGACCATCAGGGACTAAATCAAGCCTTAAATCAATACATTGATGATCAAAAATAGAATAGATAAGCTCAAAGAATTCCACACATAAAAATATTCTTAGTCCATGTCATTAATTTTTATTTTTTATTTCCTATATTTTGAACTCAATTTATTATTTATTTTTATTTTACTTTTTTAGTGAGAAGAAAATATTGTAAGATTCACTAATTTTAAAATGTATATGCTACTTGATAATATATTAACATAAAATTGTTCTATTTTTACTGAATCAAAACGTAATGGAATAAAATGTCATAAAACAATTTTCAAAATTTCAAACCAAACATGCTTTATGATTTTCTGTTTTGAGACATAATTTTTCAAAATGACAAATCAAACACGTTTTTAGCAATCTTAAAACGGACCCTCAAACAGAAAAAAAATGAACTGAAAACTAAAACACAAACCAAACGGCATCGAAATTTCGCTTATTTCCAACTAAAAGCATTATGTCTCATTCCCCAAGATCCAAGCTACGACCCCCAAATATAAATAACTTGAGACAGTCAATTGAATTGCTAGAAAAGCCTTAAATACCTATAATTAGTTAAAGGAACGAAGTCAGCAAGCTTCCCACATCCTGGTTCATCATCAAAACTCTGTGTGTCAAGAGCAGCCCTCCAAACTTCTCCATCATGCCATACAACAGCATCTATGACAGGTCCTTTATCATCATAGCTCTACACGTATATGCGTGATTAACTATAAGAAAAAGGAGATATATTGTGAAATGTATGGAAAAGAAGATTATCCAAGACAGAGACACTGACGTCAGCCTGCTTGCGTAGAAGATCAACTCTACTCTGGAGATCTTCCCGGACCTTTTTCAAGTTTGCATCCTCAATTTTCGTGTGCTTCTACATGTCAGAACATAATCATAACTACATGAAAGAGAAAATGTAGCAAGAAATCCAGCACAAGAAGCTGGTGGGAGGAAGAAAATAAAATCAAGGAACACTTTCAATTGAACTCCTATAGAATTCCACAAGTTCATAAACATGCATATGCGGCTTAATTTTTTAAAAATGCCATTCATATAATTGCACTCTTTTTAAATTTCATGCACCTCTCCAAGTGAAACATTTTTGGCATGGGAACTTAAGAGAGAAGTATCGAACTCTAACTAATAAGAGCACACAAAAAAAGGTAATTTCTCCACTTTTTCACTTACTTTATAATTTGCACACACATTGAGGGCGCCATGCAACTGTTATTAAAAGAGAAAACATAGGGATCGGGGAGGGTTGCTACCATAACAGTGAGGAAGTGGAAGGGGACTGGACTAAGGATGAGGAAGATGATTTCATTTTCATTTTATGATTTTATGTTTACTTAAGAAAAAGTCATGCAATTTTCAGATAAAATCAGTTAAGGGGACCCAACTAGTACAAAAATTCAAGGCTGGGGACACAAATGCCAAGTAAAATTCATTGGGGACCGAAGTGCCAATTTATGTAAAGACTAGGGACATCCCATGCCAGTTTCTCTGTTAAAAACTACTGCAAAATATTAATTCATGCAAATTGAAGTATGAAAAATCGCACAAGGGATTCTACACCAATTAAACTGAAACAAAATTTAAGACTCCATTTGATACAATTTGTAAATTGGTATATAAATTCAGTCAAAATCAAACATTAATTTCAACCACGCATTTCCTGGGACCCAAAATTTATTTATCTATTCGTCAAATGGAGGCTAAGTCTCAAAATTTTTGAACATAAAATTGAAGCTAAATATAAGTGTCTCAATATGTAGTATTGTAACAAGTTGATAATGTCCTGAAAGAAGCACCAACCTTGTCATATGCATCAAGCTGCTTTACAGCCTCAGCAATTGCTTCCTGATTCTTTTCATCCCACCTTTTCTCTCTCTCTTTCTGGACACAAAAGAGTTTGAAAATGACAAAAATAACATAAGTTAAGGACAATAAAATTATGCGAGAAAACATTTTTGCTTCAAAAATTATCATATGGCATACTGCCCCTACCCCTCATTTGAATTGTAATTATAAACAAGTAGATAAGGGTTACCTTCAATCGAGAAGTTAGCGTATTTGTGAAAAGCTCATAAACCAATTTACAACCCACATGCCATTCGCCAGATGGATTCTTCCATGAAGAATTTAAAACCAATGTAGCCCCTGACACACAACATTATTTCCGAAAACGCATAAATGAAAATGTGTAATTAAGCCTCAAACCCTTAACAAGTCTTATTTCCAATAAATCTGGGTAGACAAAGACAAAATAAGAAAAACAAAACTATATTTGCCAAAATCAAGAATCATGAGAATCAAGAAACACACCAGATGTCCCGCGGATACACCTACAGTCATCAGCCTTCACTACCGTTGATGTATCAATATCTCCACTCCCAGTGCTATCAGAAAAAACCCAGACAAGAAAAACATACATAGGCCGGTTATATTTCACATTTCCCAGAATGTAGTGAGTTGTGAAGGGAAGTAGAAACTTTCAGATTCCAATTCAAAAGAAAACAAATTACAAATCCATCATACTACATGTACAATTCACGATATAAATGAAGTATTCAAAATCCCCGAGACTCACATTAAACTAGAATCTTTCCGTCTTTCATTATTAACAAATGCACAGGTACAAAATAAAGAGTCAACTAATTATAATTTTTCAAGTTTTCCAATTCCCTGCAAATGATTTCACCACGAATTCCTTCACTTACCAATCAATAACATCTAAGATCTTTGGCTTCCCATCAGAGGTTTCTTGAAGCCCAGCAGCAGCCGGGTCCACCCCAGAATCTAATTTTAAAAAAAAAAAAAAAAAAACACACACACAAATAAAATAACATTGATTTAATTCCCTTTCAATTTAAATGGGGGTTGAAAATATACAATAGGAGAATCAAGAAAAATACCAAAAATTGCAATAATCACTCCACGACCATCGTATTCCGGGTGGGCTTCAACAAACCGATCCGCAGCAATTTCTTTCTTGGGCATGAGTGAAGCTAAGAAAGTTGACTCGTTCAGCTTGAAGTTCCGTAAAGCACCATTGTCTTCTCCAGAAGGCATTGCCCTTATTAAGATCCTACTGCTATTCTCAGTGCAAGTGCTTATTCTATCTCTGCTTTTTTTGCTGGAAAAGTAACTTTTGGGTGCACTAATGAGCAGAGAATAAGTGAGAAACAATGAGCGAAAATATGACGGGAATTGGTTGGAAACTTGGAATGGGCGGTATTTAAAGCCAATGATAATGGGCTTTGCATCAGTGTCTAATGATGGGTGAATTAAAGATTTTGTTAGGGGTGATTTTGGAATTTGACAATGTGAGTATCGGATACCGGCGGCGGAAAGTGGAGGAGTACAAGGAAGGATAGCCAGATGCCGGGACCTTAGGGGTTATTTGGGTTGTATAGAGGGCGGAGTTTCTTATAAGTTTTTGTTAAGTTACATTGTCTATCCTTGCATGGGAAGAATGGACTAATGTGACCCACATAACGATTATAGATAAGAACCTTGGGCCCAGAGCCCATCAGAATTCGAATAATAATTAGTGGCGAATATAAAGAAAATTATCGCCAAATCCTACCTTTTAACGTTGTGTAATGCTACTTAATATTTAGTTCCTTTAAGGTTATGATTCCAATATATGTGGTACTAATAGAGTTTGGAGTAATGCTATTTAACTCCACCGAAGTTGCAACCCCAATCCATATAACATTGATGTAGCATTAAATGATAAGTGAAATTGAATGATTCATTTAATTTCACATTTCATTTAATCTATCATTTAGTGTCATCTAAATTGATATTGCAATTCCAATGAAGTTACATAGCATTATTATAGAGCATATCATTATACTAGGGTTGAACTAAACTTTCGAATCGAACTGAGTGATTCTTCTTAAGTAAAATACCCGAACAAGTATCCGAATCCAGAAACGATGGGTTTGGTTCGATTCACGGTTCTAAATCAAGACCCGAATAATCGAATCTCCCTAATTTTTTTAATTTTTTTATTTTAAATAAGCAAATTTATTTTATTTTTTCTAAATGAATTTGTTAATTAGTTAATTTAGTTCAAACCAAAAAATGTGATTTTTCTATCACTAATTTTCAGTTCAAAGTCAACTTAATCGAATTAACCTAAATTTTATCCAAATCTCTTAATCTCCCGCAGTGCTGTTTCTACAGTTCTGGAGAAATCGAAATAAAGTTCGACAATGTCTCTCTTAATTATTTTGAATTCGCTATCTTCTTCTTCTTTCTATGATTTTAACAATCAAATATATGAAAAATTCAGTAAAGAGAAATACAAAAGACACATAAGATTAGACTACGTTATTTTGTAAGAGTTAAGATTGAACATATCATTAAATGAATTAATGTAACTTTGTAATATTAAAAATTTAATTATAATATGGAATTTAGGAACTGAATGGAACCAAACCGAACCGGATTGAATCGAATGGAACCGAACCCAAACGATTCCATAATTAAACTTGGACCCGACGATTTTACTTACTAAATACTTGAAAATTTCAGGTCGGCTCAATTTTCGTCAGAATCGAACCGGATCATATCCAACCCTAATTAATACCATATTAGCACCACATAAACTGTGGTTATAACTTCAATAACATTAAATAGCATTATTTAATAACTTTTCATTTCAATAATCACATTCAATATTCAAAAATCATTGTATCCCATCTCATCTATCCACCCCCACTCGATTTCACACCATAACCCTAACTAACTTTCCAACCTAAACCGTTGCATCATTCTTCTCTGAATGTTACTTCATTTCAATTCTTCGACTGCTTCATTTCATTGGTAGGCAACAGTTCTTCACGGCAATTCACCATAGCAATCTGTGGTGTGTCACCACTACTTAACCACATGGTGCCAGTTGCAATGCAAAATGATGGTGCAATGCGACAGTAGCAATGGCGTTGGGATAGTGAAGGTTCGTTGCAGGTGTTGATGGTTGTTATGGTAGTAGTGGTTTGTAGATTTGAATTAGTGACAATATTTTAATTGGCATCTATAGTGATAAAAGGTGAGTGGAGTGAGGTGGGGGAGATAAAGAAAATTTGTGACCAATTAATTTAATAATATGTGATCAAAAAAACTATGACAAATTAATTTGATAATTTGTAACTGATTAACTTGATAACTTGTAGTTAATAAATAAACTGTGATTTATAAAAATATGTAATGTGTGATTAAATTTGTAATTGCACCCACATTTTATGTCTTTGTAACTGTGATATTATGTGATTGTGACTAGTACGTAATTGACCATAAATTGTATTTTATTGTAGCCTTGACCTATTAGTTATCTATTTAATTAATATCGCCTAATTTTCAAAAGGATTTCACAAGCTTATCAAGTTTGAAAGTGTATTTAAACATCGATGGTTATGTATTTTTTTCATAAATGAAACCCTTATAACTCAAAGAAGAGGAAAAGTGTAAACTATAAACTAGAGAAAAATATTAACTATAATATGTTTTCATAAGATAAATTTTATTTTTTAAATGTGAATTGTATTTTACTTTATTCAATTCAATGTTAAATCAAATTTAAATAATTAAATCATTAACGAAAACAAAATACTGCATTAATATTATAGTTTGCTGTAAATTTATTATTTGTGAAGGACAATTATATCCATACAACTCTAATTATAAAATATATGAGGCTATGATTCTTAATAAATATTTACAAGAGTTTTGATTATCTCATTTATCTCTTTAATTTATAACATGTTATCAATACGAAATTCTAAGAAACTAAGTTAACAAACAGTTGTGGTAATTGCGAATAGTGTCTACGATGGCAATCTAGTATTTTTAATGTGCCTATCGATTGCAATTCAGTGCGTTACAAATAAAGTTGGTGTTGGTATAATAATAAATGTTACAAGTGATGGGCTCGATAATGATGTATAACACTAAGTGTTACAAGTGATGATGCTAGTGATGGCGACTGCAGTGATGGTGAAAATAGGCAACAAACACATTGTATTACAAGTGGTGGTGATGGTGGTTACAACCATGCAAATGATGAAAACAGGAGACAAAAATGTGTAAAACACTATTTTACAAGTGATAGTGGCGGCAGTGAAAATAGAGGTGATAAAATGTGTGTATTACAATTTATAATATAATTTTACAAAATGCAACATATTACGTTACAAAAATTATTTTAAAGTAATTAAAATGATGGGTGAATTAATGATTTTGTTAGGGGTGATTTCGGAATTTGACAATGTGAGTATCGGATACCGGGGCGAAAATTGGGGTACAAAGAAGAATGGTCAGATGCCGGGATTTCAAGGGTTATTTGGGTTGTGTAAAGGGCTGAGTTTCTTAGAAGTTTTTGTTATATTACTTTGTCTATCGCATGGGAATAGTGGACTAATGTGACCCACATTATTGGTATGATTATAGATAAGAACCTTGGACCCATAGCCCATTAGAATTCGAATTATATTAATGGCGAATATAGAGAAAGTTATCACCGAATTCTACCTTTTAACTTTGAGAGATGCTATTTAGTTCTATTCAAGTTATAATTCCAATTTATGTGGTACTAATAGAGCATAGAATAATACTAGTTAACCTTATTGGGGTTACAATTCCAGTTTAGGTGAAGTTGATATGGCATTAGATAATAAGTGGAATTGAATAACCCATTTAATTTCACATTTTATTTAATTTATCATTTAGCGTCACCTAGACAGAAATTGCAATCCAAATGGGATTACATAGCATTATTCTAGCGCATATCATTAATACCATATTAGTGCAACATAAAATGTGGTTATAATCTTAATAAGATTAAATAACATTATTCTTTAACTTTTCATTTCAATAATCACGTGTAAAATTCAAAAATCATTTTATCACATCCCACATATCCACCCCCACCCGATTTTACACCACAACCCACTATGACCCTAATTAACTTTCCACCCCAAACCTGTTGCTTCATTTCAATTCTTCAACTACTTCATTTCATAGGTAGGCGACGGTTCTTTGCAACAATTCACTATAGCAATCTATGGTGCGACGCCACTACTTAACCACGTGATGCCAGTTGCAATGCGAAAATGATGGTGCGATTGCGGTGGTAGCAATGGTGGTGGGGTAGTGAAGGTTGTTGCAAGTGTTGATGGTTGTTATGGTGGTAGTGGTTTGTGGATTTGAATAAGCAACAATAATTTAATTGGTGTCTACGGTGATGGAGGAGGGTGGAGTGAGGTGGGGGACATAAAGAAAATATGTGGCTAGTTAATTTCATAATATGCGATCGATAAATAAGATATGATCAATTAATTTAATAATTTTGTAAACGATTATCCTGATAACTTGTCATTAATAAATAAATTGTGACTTATAAAAATATGCAATTTGTGACTAAATTTGTAATTGCACCCACATTTTGTGTCTTTGTAACTGATATTATGTGATTGTGACTAATACGTAACTGGCCATAAATTGTATTTTATTGTATCCTTGATCTATTGGTTATCTATTTAATTAATATCGCCTAATTTTCAAAAGAATTTCACAAGCTTATCAAGTTTGAAAGTGTATCTTTAAAGATTGATAGTTATGTATTTTTTTCGTAAATAAAACCCGTAGAACTCAAGGAACAAAAAAAGTGTAAACTATAAACTAGAGAAAAATATTAACTATAATATGTTTTAATAAGATAAATTTTATTTTTAAAATTGATTGTGTGAATTGTATTTTATTTTATTTGATTCAATGTTGAATCAAATTTAAATAATTAAATCATTAACGAAAACAAAATACTGCATTAATATTATAGTTTGCTGTAAATTTATTATTATTTGTGAATGATAATTACATCCATACAATTCTAATTATAAAATATATGAGGCTTTGATTCTTAATAAATATTTACAAGAGTTTTGATTCTCTTATTTATCTCTTTAATTTATAACATGTTATCAACACGAAATTCTAAGAAACTATGTTAGCAAAACTTATTATTCTTTCTGCTCACGACCCTAAGCATACTGAACTAAGATTACAAACAGACTAGCCATATTTGAAATATAAGAATATGACACTCAAAGCAATAATAAAAACATGCTCTATATGCCAATACATTTTAATTATACTAGATCACAACCCATAATCGTCGTCCCATCCCCACCTTATCTCATTCCCTGCAATTGCCAACCACCCACTACCTCACAACCATCAATCACATTGTTGCCACCACCTCCAATTCATTTGTCTCTCTCAAATTTCACAAAAGCTAGCCTTCACCATCAACCATCACCCCTTTTACAATAGTTGGGAACTTACCCAATTTTCAGATCTAGAACCATCTAAATATAGTTGAAATGCTTTAATTTTCCTTTTTTTTTTCTTTCTGATTTAGAAACTGTTCTGGGTGGCATTGATGATGAGTCTTTTTTTTTTTTTTTTTTTTTGTGCGCTTGTGATGGTGGTCTTGGTATTTGGTATATATGGTGGTGGTGTTATGGTTCAAGGATAATTGTTGATATTGTTGGTGATGACGATGACAGTTGTGGTAATTGTGAATAGTTACTATGACGGCGATCTAGTATTTTTAATGGTAGCTATCGATTGCAATACAATGTGTTAAGAATAATGTTGGTGTTGGCATAATAATAAATGTTACAAGTATTGGGTTTGATAACGGTGGTATAACACTAAGGGTATGTTTGATTGACAATTCTTTTCCATGGAAAATGGAAATCCCACTTTCAAGTGTTTGATATGATTTTTTTGGCCATGGAATTCAAGTTCCATGTTTTTTTGGACTTGGTCTTTTCTAGCTTTTTAGGGAAAATGTGGGAATTGACTTTCCTGGTTACTGTAGCATATATATATTTTCTTTCCTTTTTTTTTTGTTGGCAAAGTTAACAAATTCTAAGAATTATTGTAAAAAAATATTTTCCTTTAATTGACAATTTTCATATAAAACAAAGTCAAACGAACACCAAAATATAGATGATTTTCTTGAATTTTTTGTTTTTTTTAGCAATGGAAACAAATTTTATCTCCAACACCAATAAATTATATCCCTTTAATTGATAATTTTTATGTAAAATAAAGTCAAACAAACATAAAAAAATACTTTTATTTCAACATTTTCTACGTGAAAATTTATACAAATCAAACACAATAATTTACAATTCCCAAAAAAATAATTTTTAGACAATTCAATTCCCTGGAATTCGTTTTCAATTTAATTCAATTCTATTTTTACAATCAAACGGACCCTAAGTGTTACAAGTGATGGCAACTGCAGTGATAGTGGAAGTAGGCGGCAAACACATTGTATTACAAGTGATAGTGATGGTGGTTACAACCATGAAGATGATGAAAATAGAAGACAAAAATGTGTAAAACACTATTTTTACAAGTGATAGTGGTGGCGGTGAAAATAGAGGTGATAAAATGTGTGTATTACAATTTCTAATATGCTATGTACTATAATTTTATAAAATGCAACATATTACGTTACAAAAATTATTTTAAAGTAATTAAAATGAAAAAGAATTCAAAAATAAGTATTTTATAATGAAATTATTAAACTTTTAAGGATATTAGCGAATTGTTTCCATATTAAAAATTGAATTTCATTTTAAAAGTTCAACATTATTAAGAAAATAATTCAATGTCATATATAAGATATATCCTTGAAAAAATGTTCTTGAAATTTAAGTATCAATCATTATTAATCAAACTTAAATGATGTAAACCCAACATATATTAGAGAGTGCATATATAGAAGTTCAACTTTTCTTGAGTTACTACGTACATATCTAATTAAGCCTCCCATTTGGTCCCCATTTTTTGAAAATAAAATTGGATGAAATAGTGTTTTTTTTTTTTATAAATGGCTGAAAAATAATGAAATTTTTTAGATTTACGTATAATATTATTTTATGGAAGATTGTGTGGTTAAAAATATGAGAGGGAAAAATAGAATGTAGTGAAATTTAATGTAACGAGATTCAAACGGGGCTAAAAATAGAAAATGATGAATCTTACGTCTGTCCAAAATTTCTAACTATGCCCTTGTTTGAGTTTCATTCTTTTGGAAAAACACATTTTTAACAGTATTTTGACATCATTTCAACCACATATTCTTCAATAAAATGATATTACACACAAATTCAAAACTTTTCTTTATTTTTTAACCACATATTTTTCATCAATACACTATTCAAAAATTTATTCTTCTAAAAAAAAGGCTCAAACAATAGAAGAAAAGAAAATCAGGTAATATTTTTTTGTTTGTTCTGTATAAAGAATTATATTTGTAGTGACATTACATCACATCAAAAACCAATTCCAGTACTCAACAAGCCAACTCTTCACTACGCCTGCAGATTGCTATGTTAGAAGGAGGGAAAAATGTGATCATCTTGAGCCAAAAGACTTTGATAATTTATAATTCTACTAGGGCTCACAACACCTCTGTTTTGGTCAACATCATTGGACGATGGCCAATTGGGGTTAGAGGTGTAAATTTGAGTCAGGCCTCTATAATTTTTTCAATCTTACTAGTGGTACACAATCGTGTACCTAATGGACACCCAGTGCCTCGGCTGCCATGTCGGGGCCCACAGGCTCCTCGGTCAATACCGAAACGCCGGGTGTACATTAGGTACACAGTTGTGTACCTTTAGCATAATTCTAATTTTTTATGCTCGAATTGAGAAAGATCGCGAGACGCTACCTATATATTAATAATTAAATATTACAAATAAAATATATAAAGTGTTAATCAACGAAAAAGACCAAACTGCCCTTAATAAAGAGGCTGAAACAATGTTTCCTAACATCGAATTGGGAGATAAGTACTTTGAAGAAATAAGAGAAATATTAATGAATTGGTTATAAAATTTCAAATACATAAGGTTAAGTACAAACTAAGGAAATGTGTTGCCAAATTGGTCTTTATGTATACATTGTAATTGCAGTATTATGTATAAGTGTGTGCAGAAGAGTATGATTTCTGGTATATTTGGTATTCTTGAAGAGAATGGAAAATCTGGTAGAAACCTACTTATCGTACTGCCGTAACTCCAAAAATAATCTAGTGACCTGCAACAAGTAAAAAAAGTTTCCAGCATGAAAAGAGCATTTTCAGTCTGCAGTTTGGCGTATGACACGTTAACTGCTTGATGAATTTACAGCTGACAAAAAAGCTCGTGTTACCTGAATAAATGCGTCAACCAATTAGGTTATGACAAGTATTATCACAAGGATATGCACAGTCAATCTCTTTGCTTATGTTTCTCCCGAAGTACCAATCGCCAACAGCTTGTGCAATGGTCTGAAAACAAAAGTTATGAAGCATTTAGCTCTAATTGGAACATTCTCGAGTATGTTTAAGTATTCGACCACAATCATTGTTAGATTAATGGCCTTAAAATGGTTTTTTGCAAATAAGAATATGTTTACGATTTAACCTATTTGAACATTGTTCATGACATTGGGTGATTGACCAAAGTGCAGAGGAATTCCATAACAATTGTATCGAGTAGAGATTAAAAAGAGCAATTAACATACTACCAAGGAAGGAGATTTAATTTATAAACCTTATTGTTTACTCTTGGAGAGTCGGGTGCAAACCACGTGTCTTGCAACTCACTTTGGCAATGAGCAAAACAAGAATTTATGAACATTCCTCCTCTTCTTGAGCTGTTCAAGAAAAATCTCAACGTTTCAAGCATATATTTCCTGAATCCTGAAGAAAGCCAAACAAACATGTCAGTTAAAGCTAAATAGAAACCTACATTTCTCTCAAAAACCTGCTATTTCCACCATTAAGCATAAAATTTGGAAAGGGAAAACTGTAATTAATACTTTTTTTTTATGGATAAATATTGGCAGAGAACAGAATCGAAGAACACATTCCATATAGACAAAATGAATAATTACAGAGGTCAAAACCTTGCAAAGTATATATCTGGATTGCATTACAAGCTGCTGGATTAAGCTTGCAGTGATACCAGTGTCCATGAGGATCAGCAGCAGGAGGCACCAATGCATGATGAAACTGTTGAATAATAGGTCTCAATGTTAAATATTGTTTCATAAGAAGCACTAGGGTTATATGTGATGATTCAAATTCTCAAGTAAAGATCAATGAGGAAAACAGTCTTACTTGGAAAACATCATAGGCAGAGTTCAATATGAAAAACGGCGTTCTAATGTATGGCAATGCATACTGTGGGAAGAAGCACTGCAAAAAATTCAGATTCTTAAGTGAAGCCTTAGTTTAATCATGGTTAAATAAACAATAACAGGGAAATCGTACTTGTGCAGGATATGGATTAGAAGTTGTGCAATTTTTGTCAAGGTTCTGTTCCACCCCCTGAGAGGCAAATGGTTCATAGAAGATTAGCAAATATATGTGAAAGACGAAAAGATTGTAGGAATTCCTAGACTGTCGTGTTGCTATTTTAATCTCGGTAACCTATGGCGCAAGCTACTGGTATGGATCGAATGTTAAATCAAAAACTCTGTATGCTGATAGGCATAAGGCATACCTGCAGAGCAACAAGATCCTTGTAGAAATATCTCATTGTGTGATTTAGACCTATGTCTCTTCTGCAAGAAATGTCAAAGTTCTTTGCAATGACAATTATTCAATGTGAAAATGGAAATTCGAACTAAAATTTTCTGTTCAAATAATAAAAGAACTTACGCATCCAAAAAGAATCCGGCATCACTTAGACATTTAACACTTGCATTCTTTGGCAAATAATTTGTGAAGTTATCACAGTGCAAAAATGTAGCTAAGCCCCCAGCAGAGCAACCCGAAAGCAAAGCCTGGCATGTATGGGAGTACAAAAATTTATGCAAATGAATAGTAGTTAAATCAAACTATTGAGATCTCTAAAGATGGCTGTGATCTTTTTCTAAGGTAAATTCGAGTGAATCTCCAAGAGTGCAGCACAAATCAGCTGCTAGTCATAAGTAGGGAGTAACTGAGGTTTATAACAAAGTCCATCCATGAAACTGGACTTCGACATTTAAGAATTACAACATGGTAATCTGGTACACTTTTCATCCATCTTTCAAGTTTTAGCAGCATACTCATGTTAGAATATATCGTGCATACTGGGTATAACAAGTGTGCCTTAAGTTGCTCGATTTTTCATTTAGAAGTCTAAAATTGAAACAATTTCAACAGAACGAAAAATTTGACAACAATCTATTTACCTTCTTTGCTTGGCCCAAACCTTTAGGGAGAAGATCAAGAATAATTGCTTGCCAAATTCTTTGCCCTCTGAAATAAAGCAATGACGTCTGTACATTTAGCAGATGTAAGCTACTTAGTCAATAGTAGGATAACTTATAATTCAGTTACAAAATTCTTCTCAGCTCAAATAAATAAGGTTTTGATCTGATGATATAGTTTATAAAAAGCCAAAAAGACATATATACAAACAGAGCAAAGGCCAAACAAATTTGTTTTTCAGAAGTTTTGACATTACGAATCATCTTATTAATTTAAAAATACTTGAGTACAATTGAACAGGTCTCACTTCAAATGTTATCTACGGTCTACAAAAGATTCATTCATTTTGAGAGCTGGAAAAAGAAATTAATTGGACAAGGAACAGTGGATATTGGTATATGGACCTCCGTTACGTTTGCAGCGCTACTAAGAGGCCTTTTATCATCTAACTGCATATAGTTGCTGCAAAATACTATTGATTTAAAAAAATGAATAAATAAAAAAAAAAATTCCAAACATGTAATTTACTTATAAAACCAATAAATATGTTATATATTTAAAGTTTGCTTAAAGTTGATTTTTTAAGTTAGCCAAACTTGCACACAGTAAGGATATAACAGGCGGAGTTAACCAATGAAGTGACACTAGCATGGAAGTGCATAAAAATTTAGCAACTTACCCCATTATCAAACTTAGCATCACCTGCAAATGAGGCACCATCACAATATCTGAGCTTCACTCGATTCCAATTGTAAAAATCTGTTAATTTCGTTTCATCAAATAGAAAATACCAAGAATTAGAAGTTCTGAAAAAAAAAGGAAAAAAAAAACGAGTTTCGTTCTTGTATAACCTTTTAGCTGTGGAGTTAATTACTAACGAACAAATAACTATCACAAGTAGCATAAATATGAACATGTTGACATTGTGAGCGATATGTAAAGGAGCTGAGCCAGCTCGTGGCTCGAGTAAAAAGTGACTCGAGCTTTTATTGCTCAAGCCGAACCTAACAAAAGTTTGGCCAAAAAATCTAGGCTGAGTGAGGCCCGACCCGAGCCGGGCCGGCTGGATTATTTTTTGGAAAATATACTTTTTAAATTTTTTTATTTTTATTTTTTACTTAAAGGCAGCTTGTTTGACTACCTGCATTTATGCAGGCAGTAACACGGGCCATTGATGGCCCAAATGGCCCGTGATTGTGTGGCTCGTCATAGGCTAGCTCGGCTCGAGTTGATGCCCAAAAATGAGCTCGGCCGGAGCCAAGATCTGGGCCAGGTCGGGCTTTTTTGGTACCAAACCACGGGCCGTCTGAGTTGCGATCAGGGACGGCTCGGGCTTTTTGGACCGAGCCACGGGCCATCCCGAATCAATGAGCAAAATTGATATCCGTAGACATTGTCTATCTTCTTAGGAATACATGATGATGTATAAAAAACTCTTCCAAGAATCAAGAGATTATATGTTAAGCAGCCTAGTCGAATACCAATACTTTCGTTTAGCTATAGTTAAAAAAGATTACATAGAATGAAGGAGGAATATGGATCCCTTTGTAAATTTGAATAGCGTCAGGGATTCCACAACAAAAGCCTCAGAAGGAGACTAGTTTCATTCTACCAACACCACCAAATAAAACGACAAAAATAAAGGTGACCAAATTGAAATAGAACAAATCAGACATAAAACATATTACTAAGGTTGCTCTCTACAGGGCTACTGAAAAATAAACAAAGACCTATGTTAGATGAGTCCATTATTGGCAATTTGGCATATTCGGTCGCTCTTATCAGTCTGTGATCCCGTTTACACCACAGTAATGACAAACGTGACAATTATTTTTTATTAGTAACAATAATATATACTCGTCAATCGAAAACAAGGAAAACGGGCCAATGCTGAATAGTTCGTGGGGAAGTAATTCAATACATTGTCGAGGCTTTGTATCTTATTCTACAAGGACAGCCAGCATTTCCCTTCCGAGAAATCATTAAAATATAAAAATCACTCTGGGAAAAATTTAATATACTAGCATGGGAACTGGGAGAAAGCTGGAATTGAAAGATATTGAAGCAGTAGTAGCAGTAGGTTTTTGGCGCTAGTTATAGTCTACTTCTATTATTCATCACGTGATGGACGACCAGAAATTACGAGGTAATATGATGAACATGAACTTTGTCGCATAATTACAATACACTATCAGAATACAGCCTTGAAAGATGCTTCTAGGCTTTAGCTCAAGGTGGAAGCCAAGAAGATCACCGCCTGTTAGGTAGTTTGATACTTCAAAGCCAAACTAACCATCTTTTTTAGCTTAATTTTTTTGTTCAGTAATCAAGAGAGCAAAAATAAATTAGAAATCTAGTTTCGATAAAAAAAGAATTTTCTTACAAGTTGAGGGACTTACAAATTGTATGAATCAAAATTTACACAACTATTGGCCCCCACAAATTTTATAAGTTGCGGGACTCAACTTATTTTTTTTTATCAGCCGCAGGACCTATAGTGGTGTAGATGTCTACATAATTACGGATCTATCTAGTGGCGGAGACAGACATTTGAAGTTAGTAGGGCATGATATTGCTATCTTGTTTTGCTATTTAAGGTGGTTGAATCATCAACGGAGGGAGTCGGGTTAGGAACTGTCAGCAAGGGTAGATCAAATTGCTGGGTTTTTCTTCAAAGTTTGGAATTGGGAGGAGCCAGGAGTTGGGATTGAAATGGGAGTGGTATGGTTTCTTGCATTGAATTTCAATTTGGATTAGGTTTCTTTGGATTGGAATTTGGGTTTTTGGAGTTTGGACAGTTTGGATTCTTTCAATTGGAAATCGGAAGGGTTTTTTTCATTACTCCATTTTTTATTTATAATTAAAAAAAAATAATCCTTTTTAGTTGGAGGGTCACGTGACCCACCTGGACCAAATGTAGGTCTGCCAGTGGGTCTATCCACTTATAAGAACTATTTTTTGCCAAACAAGTTGATTATAGTTTATATGTGATTTTATATATTTTTAATCATAAAAGACTATAAAGAAAGATGCTGTCATGTGGCAAACTTTTGGTAAATTTGGATCCTTTGATTAGAAGATGCATACCAGGATTTAAAGAGGCATTATTGCTTAAAATGCCAGAAAAGACTTCCACCTTACTCATGTAATGGGTAGATCCTCGGTGAGTTTGGGCTCTATCCAAGCATGATTTAATATCGTTGCACCAACCTCCACCCTATTATGATCATGATTAACAAATAGTAAATACGGTCAGTATTCATGGGTCATAACTACTTACAGACCACCTGCATCAATCATTCAGTTGGTAGTTAGTACAATAAATTTATTGAAAGATTTCTACCATAATAGTGAAAAAAATTTACTTGAAGAGTCCTAACATAACTCTCTAAAAGTTAATTAAAAAATATAGAATTATTGGTGTGAAAATGAATTAGACAAGACGGCATGGAGCCACGAGTCTATCAGTAATAGACCAGGCCACGAATAGGCTTCTCACAATTGAAAAGCTTGGCACTGTAGTTTGTAAGTCCGTTTTAAACTAAATTAAAAATTTGAAATAATAACGATGTCTGTCCAAATCTTGGGATGGACCTAGCCTGCAAGACGGTTTCCTGAGAAATTTGGCCTGTCGGACCAGTCCCGTAACAGGGTGGTTTCGACTTTCAATTGTCCCTACAGCTGAGTTGGATTGATACTATTTGGTCAACATCACTATCGTGGTTACCAACTCAATACATGTGACTTTCATATCCACCAGCCATTCAATTTCTCTGTAGGCCCAATTTGAATAATATAAGTATTGAATATCGTAGAAAGCCAAATTTGTTAGAAATTAGGATAGGCCCCCGGACATGATAGCCAAGAGACTCATTTGTCAGCCGCCATCCTCTTATTCTCGTTTCAATGATAAGGAGTGTTGAATTTAAAGGGGATGGACCAAAAATTCGCCATGAATCGGAAATATTGAAGCATGGCCTCTAAAAAATATTGGTAATGGATAAGAATGACCTAAAAATCAACAAAAGATAAAGAGAAAAAGATATCAAGAGGCCGATTGATAAAGGCTTGTCCCTTGAAAATTTAGAGCACTATTGGATGATCATTGAAGCTCAATTTGTGGTGTCCAAAGAAATTTGTTTCATAATCTGCCAATTTCCATTATTATTTGATGGTAACTTTGTTACTGATCTAGAGAATATTAGATAAGGATTAAAATTAGATTTCTTAGTAGATTGTGATAGAAATTTTTAAAATGTACCGTTTAAAAGTTGTGAGACCCATGAAAGATGTGGTTAATATTAATTGTTTGATTTTAACTTAAATTAAAATTAGATTTTAATTATAACCAAACATGTGCCTAGTTTGTTCTCTTTTAATTGCACAGTCCGATTATCCGATTTCATTACGTGCATTTTTGTCAAGATTTCAATTTTTCAAAAACTGATCAAACATATATTTTTATTCAAAAATTGGGGGATCTAGGGCTTAACAAAATTTAAACTTTACCAACCACGCACCAAGTGGTGATAACTGCGTTGAGGGTAGTCATGAGAGAGGCGATGGATACAAACCAGAATTATTTGCATACATTTAAGCTACTTGTATAGAATTTTTTTATAGATTGTTTGATAGATACTGAGGTGTCATGTATTTTGGCAAATGCCCTTGTCAGCAAATGCGTAAAAAAAAATTGTGTACAAGTAATTTAATTCATTTGCATATTATTCATGCTGATAAGATATATAAAACATTAAAAAAAAAAAAAAAAATTGCTCTATCAGTCTATAACTATTGATTGAATAGCAAGTTGTTTCAAATTTTTAAAAAGAAGTCAACTGAATCACATTCAATTTCCAGTGGCTCAAATTGGACCCTTACATAACCCTCATATTTCCTATGTTATAAAGCTAAATTTTACTCTCAACTTGAACCACCGCCTAAAAATTTGAAAAGGGATATTTATTAATAAGTAGTCTAAAGAAGATTTGGATGATTCAGTCGTTGAGAATTGATTGAACAAATATAATAAAATGTTAGAGAATTATTAAAAGATTTAAGACCAACTCGCTATTAGTTGTAATAAGTTGGAGGCCAATAGTGCAACTTGCCCATTTATTTTCAAAACCTTTGAAGTTTGAAAGCTTAATTTCCAAATTGGATAGAAAAGAAAGAAAGAATAGGGGTGGCAAAAGGGTCTAGCAATTAGCGAGCTCAGCCCGATTCATGCCAAGTTGGTCTATGGACAACTCGAACTCATTTCAAATGAGTAATAAGTCGAGTCAAGCATCATTTTTTACTCGTTGGTTCATTTTTTAACTTATTTTGTTAATTTATTTAAAAAACAAGCATACTCTACTCCGTTCATTGTGCACACGAGTCAAAGATTCAAACCTAACCTAATTTGTGGACAAGAGCCGTGCTCAAATGTCTAAGAACCGAGTTGGCTCAACTTATCCCTTTTACCCCGTGAAGAAAAAGAGAAGGGTTGAGTAAATAATTTTGTAAGATCTAAATATACAGTGCAAATGCATGACTTCCTGACATGAATAATTCTACATGTACATTATGTTATCCATAAAGATGTTCATAATGTACATATGAAATTCCATAATTGGAAGATTGAAAAAATTGTTTTTTAACTCTCTAATGATGTTATGTTACTTGTATATTGTGGATACGGACTCCATAATGTACATATAGCATAACCCTCCTAACATTGCTAAATAACTATATAGTTAGGTAAAGGTAGTTGTATAGTTAGGTAAAGGTAGTTGTACACCATGCTATATGGTATGGTGTTGTAGCCCCTATTGTGAGGGAGCTATACAAAAAAGTGTACCGCAATCACAGCCCATTTAGTTATATTGTGGGCCCCTTTGTTGGGAAGGGGCTGTACATCATAGTCTATATTGATATATTGCGTGGAGCTCTTTCTCCTTTTTACCCATAAAAAGTGAAAAAAATTACTCTAAACAGCACAAGGTAGGTTGTGTGCATGTTGTTTTTCAATGCATAATCATTTTGTCCCCACAAATGCACAAATAAATTACCTCAAACTGTAAAAGCCAGTTGCGTGCCCCCGCGCCGAATCCTCTGTCCAGATGGTATGCCGGCAAACTTCCGTCCAAACAATCTGCATCTCAAAAAAATTACTAAATGAAAATTCTCGTAGAAAAATTTTCTCTAAAAATAAATAAAACTTTCTAATAAAAAATTAAGTATATAAAATTCTCATAGAAGAGTTCGCAATGGCTTTACATACAGGCGCCGAGAGATAAAGCATTTCGAACCAGATTCATCTTCACCAAATGGCGCTCCTCCGAGTAAATGCACCGTGGAGCGCATGTTAGAAACACCAGCAAGCTTAATACAACTGTATTTGAATCCATGTTCATTTACGAAATGGCTCTGCTATTGAATGTATATGAAACAACGCAAATCGAGATCTATAATTCACAATGAGTTATCACTTGAGAAAAAAATAATGTATATGCACTGAAACAGAGCCTATATCAGAAAATTGTTTTATTTCGGTGTCTCTTTAAAATATTACAGTAATTGATAATGAACTTTCACCGAAATGTGAATGAAAAAACTGAATATATCTCTGGAAATTCTTTAATTAGGTGTATTTTAAGAGAGATTAGAGAACCTAATAACGAGTTTTCATGTAAACGTAATGAAATTCTGAATCGTGACTGCAAAATTCAATGTATTATTGGAATGAATTGAATTGAATTTCAGAAAAAAGAATTAACAAGAGATGGAGACGGGAGAAGAAGGGAGACTGAAGAGAGAGGGAAACTTGGACGAAAAGTGTTAATTACGGTATTTGGCTTTATATAGAAAGCGGAGGGATTCCCGAGAGTGGAATGTTTATTTATTGAGAACTGTGATGGCGTAATGGCCCAATTGCATATGAGTTTCGGGGCCCTTTTGGTATAAGAGGGAGGGAAAATTTATTGATCCCCAATTTATTGTTCGACAGCCGGAGTTGGTCTTTAACTTTTAAAAATGAACAAGTACACCATCTCAACTTTTCATTGTAGTTGCATAATTCTTCTTCAATTAATGTTCAAATCTTTATTAAATTGTCACATGATTATTACGTGTCTAACTTTTGCAAAAACCACGATTTCTCTGAGATCCAATGACGATTTAATAAAGGATTTGTACAATTTGTCCATGTATAGTAGAGATTAAAATTATATTTTTAATAAATTTTGATAAAATTGATGAAATGTACGGTCAAAAAGTTGTGATTTTCATAAAATGTGAAGTTAAAATTTTAGTTGGATTTTAATCCAAACCAAAACAGGAGCATTATATCATTGAAAACTCGTTGTGTAATTTAAGACTTAAATTGCTCTTTTTCAAAGGTTTGAGTATTGACTTAAGATTAGGAACAATGCTGCAATTTTCCTGAGAAAGGCAATGATGAGGAAGGGAGAGTGAATTTCACGTAATTTTGATTGCGTAAGTAGTTTCACTTGCTTTTGGTCATGGTAGTTAACCCCCTCTTGAATTGTCTTGAGATTGAGATTGAATTGAACAATGGTACAGAGATATGAGTTGAAGTGGCCGTGAATGGTGGTGAGAACAATATATGTCCATGTTTGGACTTTATATTATTTTTAATGTATTTTTTTTCTTTTTTTTCAATCACGTATTTTTTAATAAAATAATATTATATTTAAAATTAAGATTTTTTTTCCTTTTTTAACTACACATTTATCAAAAAATCACTATTTTAAAATATATTTTTTCCTAAAAACTAATTTTAATATAGTCCAAACAGAAGTTACAATTGTATGCTCGTATGGCCATCAGTGTGACATCACTAGATACAAAATTTTGAAGGTTGGATAAAAAAATTTGAACGGAGAAACGCATCATAAGACGTATTTGCTTGGCTTGGCAAAATCGATGTTACCAATAATTTCACTTCTACGCATTAAAATCATAATATTTCTAAGTTTAGAATAAATTTACTTGAGGAGTTTATTTTTGAAATGCACCGAAAATATTAAGTCCATGTTTAGTTTTCGCTTTCTAAAACTCAATTTATTTCAAATTCATTTTCAACCACACGTTTAATGGGATCCACAACTTTATCAAATTTTTAACACACATTTTATTAATTTTTATAGAATTTTACTAAAAATATGATTTTTAACTAAACCAAATAGCGGCTAATAAAATTTAGCCCTTGTTTGACATCCATTATCTCTCATTCTTTTTTTTTTTTTTCCATACTTATTTTTAATCACACATTCTCATAATAAAATATTTTTCATGTAAAATCAAAACTTTTTCTTATCTTTTAATCCCATATTATCCCAAAATTTACAATTCAAAAATTCATTATTTTCACAAAAAATTGTGTAAAACACACATTGTTTAGGTATTTAGGTAATTGTTTATGTAAAAATTTATGTAAAACACACAAAATTTTACTATTCAAAATACATTCTTTTAAAATATAATTCATTTTTCTCTTTTTTCTTATCAACTACATATTGTTCTATAAAATAATATTATACATAAACCTCAAAAAAAATTCTTTTTTAATCACACGTTATTCAAAATATATTATTTCGACCATTAAAATTTCAAATAATAGGAGTGAAACGGGGCTTAAGTTTTTAGGTAATTCATAATTGTATATGTGGTGAGAATAAACAAGATATCACGTATTATTACCAGTTAGAAAGAGATCTGACAATGATGGGATTAGTCGTCTAAAGTGGACAAATTGGAATCTAATTAATTAATAATAATTAAGAGTGCGAAAGAAGAAATCAAAATAATAATGCAAGGCATTGATTAGGTTAAATGCGCATTATTTATTTATTACCGGTATTATTTTCACCATAATTTACATAATAGAGTATTGTGATTTCGGTTATTGTGTGATCATTTTGAGTCACTCTATTTAACAGTTCAATTATTGGAGAAGAAATATTTTTATTTTTTTATTTATTTTTAGCACACTATTTTGAATTTATTTCTTTCATCAAAATTAAGCCCATATTTGGTACTGTTTAAAATTTAGATTTTAATCTAAATTAAAGTTAAGAATTAAATTTAACTACATGTTTCATAAAACTCACAACCTTTCAAACACACATTTCATCATCTTTTACCAAAATATACTAAAAATCTGATTTTAATCCTTATGAAACAAGGGTTAAGGCTTGATGCATTATAATTTAACAAATTTTGTCAATTGTATTTAATTGTGATATTGTTGTAAAGGGAAAGATTATTAGGGTTTAGAGGTGAATGACAATTACACCCCTGCAGCTCTATAAATAATTACTATTGTATTCCTAATTCTGCCTTATAAATATAGAGCTTTGATTCTTAATAAAACACAAAAGTCTATTGACTTTTCTCTTTTTTCTTCACTTCTATAACACGTTATCAGCACGAAAACTTAATTTTTCAAAATTTAGTGAAGGTTGTAATTTCTTTTAAAGTATAATCATCTCTTACATGTACCAGTACCAAAATTAAATTTCTTTTACATAATACATACATAGTTAAATTATTTTTACAAAATTACACCCGTCGCCACCATCATTTGCTGTACCCAACTTTTTGTTTCTTTCAAATCCAATAATTCATGCTAATTGAATTCAGCAAAATTGGTTGGTGCTAATTAAATCAATTATTACGTCCTAATTGATTCCTTCTAATTCAATTTTTTTAATTACGCATACGTGTACCCAGGTAGCCCTTGTGCCTACATTTTTGTTTTTACTTTAATTAACTTTTGCATGTTAATTGATTTATGAAATTAGTCATTGCTTCTTCTTCTTCTCTTGCTTTCAAAAACTTTATGATTGGTTTACAAAATTCACGTCATAATATGTGAAATTGTTTCTGCATGTCATAATTATGAATTTTTTTGGTCTTTTCACTCAATTCACATGCATGTTTGGAAGATTTTTTTTTTTTTTACTTATACATTTTTGGTAATTAATTTTTCTATATATATTCATGTCATGTCTACATGGTAATGATTTATTCTTTACTAATTATTTATTCACTACATGTCATGCAATAATGATCACCTTAATTAATGATGAAAAATTTCAATTTCTGTTGTATGCATAGTTAATTTTCTATTCTTATATTTTTTTACTAATAATTACGTTATAATCATCGTCTATTATATTCACAGCATAATGATTTATTTTGCAAATTTGATAATTAATTTTTTTTTACTTGATCGAATACTTTAGATATTCTTCTTTAAACTTAAATTAATAATTTATCATGTTATTACTCTTGGAGTAGCACAACATTATAATTAATAATCTTGAAGAATATTAATCGAATATCTATTTATTATAAATAGTTTGTTGATGATTCTGAAGTAGCACTATACTATAATTAATATTCTTGAAGAATATTACTTGCTCCTGAAGAGCATAAATTATAATTTTCAATATTTTAGAAGAATATTGTCATATTGTTCTTCAAGAAGTAATAATAAAATATAATGTGCTCTCGAAATAGCATATGTTTCGAAAAACATATTATTTTAATATTTATCCCTGAAAGAAAACATGTAACTTATGTCATGTTACTTGATTTACAATTATATGATATTTAATCATATTTTTCGAAACTAATTATATTTTCTTTTACTTTATTGTGTAGTTAATCAAATGGCAAATATCACAAAATTTGAGTTTGTTGCACTTGACATATTTAGCAAAAATTATTTATCATGGGTACTTGATGCTGATATTCATATTGTCTCAAAAGGTTTGAGAGAGACAATAAAAGAAGGAAATAATGAATTCCTGCAGGATCGTGTAAAAGCACTCATCTTCCTTCGTCATCATCTTCACAATGGACTAAAAATTGAATATCTTACTGAGAAAGATCCACAGGTTCTTTAAAAAAAAATTAACTGAAATATTTGATCATTAAAGTACTATAGTCCTCCCCAAAACCTGTTATGAGTGGATGCACCTTCGTTTGCAAGTCTTCAAAACTATTAGCAAGTACAATTCTGAATTGTTCAGAATATGTTCAAAATTGATATTGTGGAGAAAAAATCACTGATGAAGATATGTTGGAAAAAACTTTTTCCACCTTTCACACCTCGAATGTGCTCCTGCTACAACAATATTGCGAGCGTGGTTTTAAAAAGTACTTAGAACTTATATCTTGTCTGCTTGTTGCTGAACAGAATAATGAACTGCTGATAAAAAATCATGGGTTACGTCCAACTGGTTCTGTAACATTGCCCGATGCAAATGGTACTGCATTGCCTGAAGCAAATGTAATATCAAGACAAGGACATAGACGTGGACGTGGATTTGGACTTGCACGCAGAGTAAACCATGGATAAAATAATCAACAAAGTTATCAACAACAAGAGAACAATTTTAAAAGGCAAAAAGTAAACGAAAGTAGCACACCAAAAAAGGTACATGAAGAAAGTTGTTTTAGATGTGGAATAAAAGGGTATTGGACACGTACTTGTCGTATGGTAAAACACCTTGTAAAAAATCAATTAAGGGAAAGAGAAAGGTGGAAACAAATTTTGCTGACTATGATGGTCCAATTGATGTGACTCATTTGGATGTCTCCGATTTTTTTACTGATCCAAATGAAAATATTGACCATTTGATTAAGGTGGTGTGATGGAAGATATAGATTAGTTTATTTATTTATTTATTTATTTTTTCTATTTCTGGTATTTCCCTTTATTTTAGAAATTTAGTTAAAAATATGTTTTTACTTTTTACAAAAATTTTGAACTTTATTATCTATCGTTAATTTCAAAATATTAATTATGCTTATCATTTTGAAT